GGCTGGCGGCGCGCAGTGCACCAGCAGGAGGTTCTCCAAGCACAGGTCTCGGTGGATGACCCTGTGCTCCTTCAGGTGCTCCAGCCCGTTGCAAAGCTGCAGCAGCAGGAAGCACACGCGACGCTCGTAAGCCTCAGGCTCTGCCCGGTGGCTGGCTACCGAGTCCCGCACGAAGTCCAAGGCCGTCTGGTGGGGCACCTCCCGGGTGATGACCACCACGCAGTCCTGCTCCTGAGTGGGGGTGTGTGAGGGCAGGGTGGGCAGAGGGTCCTTGGGTGCCTCAGGAGGGGCGAGCATGCTGGAGGGCACAGAGGCGACGAAGTGGCCACAGTCTTGCTGGATGTTGAAGTGCACAGGCACCGAGGGGCTGCAGTATGAGGCTGCTTTGGGCTCAGGGGTTTTGCAGATCTGTGGGGAAAAGTGAAGTCAGAGTGAGATTCGCAGGGCTGTCCAATGGGTGATGTCGGGACATTTGGCTATGTGCAAAAAGCTGACTCATTACTGACATTGTGCAGATAATTAACTCAAAGTGGATCATGCAGACTTCAGAGTAAGAGCTAAGGGACCAGCAGGTAGTGTAGTGGCTATGTCGCTGGACTCCCCTATAGTCGACTGCAGTTTGAGTCCCAGACCCGGTGGCTTAAACTCACACCAGGTGCGTGTACGTGCATGCCCAAAATCCCGAGAAGAGAATGGAGGAGAAGGGATTGCGGCGTGGCCACCCCTCTGGGAGGGGGGGGTGATTTTTCGCTTTCTTTCTCTCTGTCTCTGTCTTTCTGGCGAGCGCACACACCCTATAGCAAAAACCTCTCCCCCCACCACCCCAAAAAAGAGAAAGAGCTAAAAAACAGACATATTTTTGAAGGAAACAAGGAAAAAAAATCTTGGGTTGGGCAAAGATTTCTTAGGTAACACACAAAAAGCATGGTTCATTAAAGAAAAAAAAATAATAAATCTGACCTCAAAATTCGAAAGTGTTGTCCTACAAAAGACACCATTAAGAGGATGGGAACAGGGCCAACCAGTGGCGTAGTGGTTCAGGCACCTGGAGCTCACGCGGTCAACTGCGTGGTTTGAGTGCTGGACCCAGGAGCATGAAGAACACACTGGATACGTATGCATGCGTGCCCCGCAGAAATCCCTGGAGGAGAAGGGGTTGCAGTATGGCCACCCTCCCTAGGGAGTGCTTTCTCACGTTGTCTCTGTCTCCATTGAGCATGTGTGCCTCCCAGCAAATTAAAAATAAATAAAGTGGAATTCAAGTATGCATTTCTTGGAGGTTTTTGCTATAGGACACGTGCGCTCACCAGAAAGAGAGACACTGAGACAGAAAGTGAGAATTCACCCCAGAGGCGGGATGGCCACACCACAGTCCCTTCTCCTCCATTCTCCTCTCGGGATCTTGGGCATGCTCGCACACGTGCCCGGCTTGAGTTTAAACCACTGGGTCTAGGACTCAAACCACAGTCGACTTCATAGGAGTCCAGCGACGTAGCCATTATGTCAACTGCTGGTCCCCAGTATGTATTTTTTAAAAAATTCACAAAAATCCTTACAACTCAATAGTCTAAGGGGCCATCCAGCATGGAAAATGCATATTTTGAAAAAAAACTACTCATGATTTTATTTTTCTGTATCAAAATAAATTCATATTTTAATTCTATTTTTCCACGAACTTTCTAAAGTCCTCTTATACAAACCAAATTTTTAAAATGAGCAAAAGATATGAACAGATAATTTCCAAAGAAATAGGTGAGTGGGGGCCAGACAGTGGCAAGTGGTGAACATGACACTCTGTGAGGCGGTCCCACATGGGAAAGGCAGTTCAGAAACCTCCTCTGATGGCCTCAATTTCCCTCTAGTTACTCTGGAAGGAGCTGAAGATGGCCAGCAGTCTCCTCTCAGATGGGGACTGTGCAGCCTCACGTACGCTTCATAGAAAGTGAACGTCAGCTCCCTCATCCCGTTATGGCCCCAGACAAGCCTCCTCCCGAGCGGCTGCATCTGAACGACTCAGCGGTTTGCACAAAGCCATGCTGACAGTTGATGTTTCCAGGAGTTCTACCAGAAGCACCTTTTCAGAGATTTATTGCAACTTCACAAACCTCAGCATGAAACCTGTATAAGAGTTCAGCTTCCACGGAAACTTTTAAAAAGATAACTGGGAGAAGAGAGTGGGTCACATTCAGTTAGTAATCTCTCTATGATGAAGCAGCATGGAAATGAAAAGGCAGCCCGTTTTCCTTCAGAACTGCTTCCTATTACACTAATGCAAACTATTCATATTTTGGAAAATGCGTTCAAGGAGCACTGTTTCAGGCTCTTTCTTGTTCGAGTCCATCCAACGTACTCGGTTTTTAAATCAGCCTTCTAGAACACTGTCAAACTGAAGAAAATGTGGGGGCAGTCCTCAGAGCACGTCTTGCCCATAACGACACTCGGGGGTGGCCAGCCAGAGTCTGCAGTGCTCTCGGCAGAACAGGCCTGTCCCCGTCTCCCCGACGCGCACTGGGACACGCACACACTGGACTCCTGACGGGCGAGGCACTGCGCCAGTTCCACAGTTCTCGCAGACTCATTACATCTCACCAAAGCCAAGGGCGTGGATGCCATTACAGAGAAGGAAACAGGCTTCAAGAGGTTAAATTATCTGCCCAAGATTATACAACTGGAGAGTAACCCGGAGGTCAAAAGCATAGGCTTTAGAAGGAAAAAGGCCTGGGCTCAAATATAAATTCTGTAACCTTTGGCAAATTACAAGCAATTCTCACTATTTGATAAGTAGTTATATTCTATTAAATTCTACAAATACTGAATTAAGGATTACGGAATGAGTTCCAACGGACTTCTGGTTACCATATTTTTGCCAACTGACTGCTACACAACCTTGTTTTATGTGTTTCTGAATCTATATTGCTGACTCGTCCACTGCGCTTCTGGGCCACAGCGCTACAACTCACGACTGATGCAGCTGGTCTAGCACACGGGGACACTAGACAGCTACTGAGCGCTGTACTTGGGGGCCATTTTAAACAGCGAAATCAAAAACGAGGACATAAAAATGTGAAAAGAGATACAAAAGACACTGCGAAAAAGGACCCTTGCTGAGGGTAAGTGAGCTGAAACAGTAGGGCTGAGCATCACCTCGGTCCACCTCAAGGGGAGACGTGCACATTGGGAGACTTAAATTTTCCTCGCCATGCCGGTGTCCACAGATGACCAGAAGGCGCTAAGAGTATGGATTTGGGGGTCACGACACGTTTCAGCGGGCAAATGATCTTGCAACCATGGAATCCATGCGTAATGAACATGGAAGGAATCTGGCTCGAAGCCGGCTTTCTCCCTGTCCAACGAGGGCAGTGGCTGTCCCTTCCTCGCAGGGCCATTGTGAGAATTTCATGGAATCATGAAGGCATGGCTTGCAGCACCAGGCCTAGCTCTCAGGGAGCACTCGGTGGGGGTGGGAAGGGTTGCTATGGCGACTGCTCTAGCTACTTTGACTTGAGAGTCCAGATGGCCTGCAGGTATTGTACAAACCCGGGAGGGTCCCCTGCCAAGGGTCCTGGGAAGTGCTTCTCGGGTCCCCTTTCCTCAAGGGCATCAAGGGCCTGAGCCGGTGAGTGCTCCTGGCACAGAGCTCCAGCGTAGGGCCGGGCAGTTTGCACAGAGATGAAAATGAAGGAGGTCAGTTTCCGGCGGGACCCGCAGCCCCCTCACCAGCAGCCTCAGAGAGGGGACATAGCACGTGTTAACCAGTCGGGGAAGCCCTGGTGGCTTCTCCATCACCTCGCTCTCTCTTCTCTCCCCCTCATTTCATTTTCAAGAGGTGTGTGCTTAGATTAGGGCTCTCGAACTTCACACAGACCAATAGTTCCGTTCATATTTCAAACATTTTGCTGAGCCAAGTCTCATTTTAGACTTTGGAGTTAGGATCTCATTCATGGGCGAAAACCTGGACTAAGTAATGTGTTACATAAAGAAGGCCCAGCAGTTAACAAAGGTCCCTCGTAACAGAAATGGAGTTCTAGATGGCTAAGAATGAAACAGCTTCGAAACTGATCTTTCTGCTGCATCCACGGAGCTGGGCTGCAAGGGCTGGCGGGCTCCCTTCTCACGGCTGCAGGCGGGAGCCCGCGCCGGCAGCAGCAACCAGCTGCTGTGAGCATGCTCGTGACAGGGACACTGCGCTCAGCTCTGACTTCAGTGCCAGCTCTCTGCGTACCCGCACAGATGAAGCGAGCTCAGCACAGACAGGGGCTGCGAAGGGAGCCCCTCCCTTCCTGTGACTCCCACTTGACTGTGTTCTGTCTAGACCAGAGTTGGGAAGAGGTGGGACAGCCGCACGTATGAAATGATGTCCCGTCTCCTCCCCCCACCGGGGTCAGGCATATTTACAAATTGATATTGTTGCTCCCGATAACCTTGCTCTAAGAGTAGCCTCCTCCAATATCTGAGGCTATGCACACGGTACAGAGACGGTCCCTGAGCCACCAAGTCTCCACGGAAGTGAGACAGGGACCAAGGCTTATCATCTAGGTTCTTAACAGCTGACGTTGCTAATGGCAAGAGGGGTAATGCTTGTTTTTAACGCCCTCTAGAAAGATGGAATTCTTGCGCATTTGTTATTAGAGAATATAGCTAACTCTATATGGAGGGCTCTTCAGACAGTTCATGGAAAACACATTTAGAAAACCTATGTATGGGGACCAGCAGTCGGCGTAATGGCTATGTTGCTGGACTCCCATGTAGTCGGCCGCGGTTCAAGTCCCGGACCCGGTGGCTTAAACTCATGCCAGGCACATGTGCGTGCGTGCCCAAGATCCCGAGAGGAGAATGGAGAAGGGATTGCGGCATGGCCATCCCCCCTGGGGGGTGATTTCTCACTTTCTATCTCTCTGTCTCTTTCCAGTGAGCACATGCGCCCTGTAGCAAAAATCCTCTCCAAAAAAAAAAAAAGAAAAGAAAAAAAAGAAAACCTATGCATGAATTTCAAGACTTTTTGCATGAAAATAAATTCTTTATTATTTCTTTTCAAGAACTTTTTGGGAACCAGCAGTTAGCATAATGGCTATGTCGCTGGACTCCCACGTAGTTGACCGCGGTTTGCGTCCCGGACCCGGTGGCTTAAAACTCACGCCGGGTGCGTGTGCGTGCATGCCCAAGATCCTGAGAGGAGAATGGAGGAGGAGGGATTGCGGCGTGGCCATCCCCCCTGGGGAGTGATTTCTCGCTTTCTATCTCTCTGTCTGTCTCTGTCTGTCTGGCAAGCGCACGTGCCCTATAGCAAAAACCTCTCCAAAAAAAAAGAGAACTTTTTGAAGTTCCCCGGTATTACATGAGGCCCGAGACTCTAAGCTGCATAGCTCAATCACTAATGGGTACAAAAAACAAAACCCTGGGTGCCAAGCGTTGGACTCAGGGGCAGAGCCAGGCCCCATGGTTTGCTGTGGTAGAGTCAAATTGCTTTCTATTCCAAAGGCAAGAGGGATTAAGCCTCTTCCACCAGGCATGTTCTCCTCAAAATGGAGAGGTCGCCTGTCTCCCTTTTTAAAAATTTCATTATAGGGACATGTGCTCATTACAGAGAGAGCGCGCGCGCGAGAGAGCGAGCGAGCGAGAGAGAGAGAAAGTGAGAAAGCATCCTCGGGGGGTGGGGGGATACGTATCCATACCACAACCCCTTCTCCATTTTCCTTGGGATTCAGGCGCGTGTGCATGCGTGCCCAAGATCTTGAGAGAAAGGAAGAGAAGGGATTGCAGTGCGGCCGTCCCCCCTGGGGGGTGATTTCTCACTTTCTATCTCTCTGTCTCTCTCTCTGTCTTTCTGGCGAGCGCACGCGCCCTATAGAAAAAAACTCTCAAAAAAAAAAAAAAGCTTCAGGCATTTTCCTCGGGATTTTGGACACTTATGCATACGTGCCCAGCATATTTTTCAAACTGCTGGGTCTGGGAATTAAACCACACAGCTGGTGATACGGGAATCCAGCTGCCTTCACCACCACACCACCAGCGAGCCTGAGGTCGTCTGTTTCTTGCTACTGAACGAGAAGCCCCAGGGAATGAGGTAACAGGTTGAACACCTCTGGACAAAGCAGAAGAAAGATTCACAGGTCACTTTCTCCAGGCCACAGGGTCTACTGAAAGGGAAGAACTTCCTGAAGGTACCTTCAGACCCTGGGCTGCTGAGGAGCTCAAATTCACCTCCCTTTCACTGGCGGAGAACAGAACCCTGGCTTCAGGCGCAGTGGAAACCCAGGCTAAGCGTGTCCAGCTCACTGGAGGGGCCAGGGTGCTTTCCTCTACTGGACACGGCACCATCCCAAAAGGAAGGGAGACTCTGGGTTTTCCTTCTCCTTTTGGCTGGGGAGTAGGAAGGTAGCCTTACCCGGGAAGCAGCTGCTGGATTTAGATAGTGAAGCAGAGTGACGTCTAAGAGCCGTTACCATCGAGTCTCAGTCAGGACGTCTGTGCCTTCCCTCATACAGTACCTGCCATTTTGGCTGCGACGTCTTCAGCTCTTTAGGGTCTTGATTCCTTTACAATACCCTGGATTTTCCTAGTAATTATCTTGTTGATTTTTTGATAGGTAGGCAGCAAGTTGTTATATACACGTACTCTGAACACGCCAATCGGGCTCCCAATCTATTCCACAGTGTCTATCACCAATCCCTTTTTTCTTTTTTCTTCTTTTTTTAATTTTTAAAATTTTTGCCATAGGGTATATGTGCTTGCCAGAGATGGCGAGAGATAGAGAGGGAAAGTGAGAAATCACCCTGTAGGGTGCATGGCCATGCCACAATCCTCTCTCCTCCATTATCCTATCAATAGTTTGTGCACAAATGCACACACGCTCAGTGTGATTGTCAAGCCACCAGGTCCGGGACTTGAACCATGGTTGGTCATGTGGGAATCCAGCTCCTTAACCACCATGCTACCTGTTGGCCTGATTATCACCAATTTCTTAAAGGAAAAAATTCAAAATAAAATCCACTGAAATTTCTCTGGCTAATGATTATACTATTTTTAAAATTTTTGATGGATAGCAAGCTATCCCACCAAGGACATTTCAGGTTTGTTTAGTCTGCATTTTCTAACTGGAAAAAAAAGACTGTCTAGGGACTGGTCATGGCAGAAGAGAGCTCAGGGTCTCCTCTCCCTCCCCATAAAAGCCTGCATTTATAGAAGGGCTGCGACCTACCTGGTATTTGAAGAGTACTGGGAGATAAGGAAGGGAGCCACAAGGAAGGACTGGAGTCCAAGGGCAAGACCACAGAGGCCCCAAGGGGTGCAGCTGGCTCAGTGAGCTCAGCAGAGCTGCAGCAGAGAGCAGCGGGAGGTGGGAGCAACAGCCCTGATCTGGCACCAGAGGCTGCAGTGTGGTGGGTAGACAGGTAGCATAGGCATGAGAGACACACAACCCAGGGTTCAAATCCACTTCAGCCATCGACTCACTGGGGGAGATTACTTAGCCACTTTGAGCCTCAGACTCCTCGTCTTAAAACCTCCCTATGCTATAGAACTGTTAGGATGGCAGATAATGTAGCTAATATACACAGCTAACAGTCTAGCTGTACGGTTAATGTGCAGTAAGCGTTATTACTCTTTTCAGAACGTTCCCTAGACCTAACGTTCCCCTGGCTCTCACCGTTGAGGAATACTATCTGCAGTGTCCATCTCCTTCCTTGGAGCATAAGCGCCCTAAGGATCATGGCACTATCCCTGGCATCTAGCAGACACTCAGGAGAAACTGACACAAAGAACTCTGTTGCATTCAAAGGCAACTGCTTTCTTAATCCAAGTAGATCACATAGGTACCTTCCTACAGGCACAGAGGACATCTATATTCCTACCACAGACCTCATACTGCCCTGTCCAGGCCAGGCAGAGAACCCCTGACAACTAAGTGTTACAGGGAAGCTTAGGAACCAGAGGACATCTTATATTCCTACCACAGATCTCATACTGCCCCTGTCCAGGCAGAGAACCCCTGACAACTAAGTGTTACAGGGAAGCTTAGGAACCAGAGGACATCTTATATTCCTACCACAGACCTCATACTGCCCCGTCCAGGCTAGGCAGAGAACCCCTGACAACTAAGTGTTACAGGGAAGCTTAGGAACCAGAGGACATCTTATATTCCTACCACAGATCTCATACTGCCCCCGTCCAGGCAGAGAACCCCTGACAACTAAGTGTTACAGGGAAGCTTAGGAACCAGAGGACATCTTATATTCCTACCACAGACCTCATACTGCCCCGTCCAGGCCAGGCAGAGAACCCCTGACAACTAAGTGTTACAGGGAAGCTTAGGAACCAGCCCTCCTCTTAAAGCCGGAAAGGTGGGATGACCTGCTCAGGCCATGGCTGAGCCCAAGTCAGGACCAGCTGGTCATGCTACAGCCTGGAAGGAGGGGTGCTACCTACTTTCACAGCGTAGGTGCTGCCCGGGTCCTCGGAGCAGGTGGCGCAGTAATAAATGGCATCCCCCGAGTCACAGCAGGGCTTGTTACAGGTCAGTTTGAAGAGTGACCAGTTATTCTCATTGAAGTGGAGCTCCTTCTTCTGGCCGCCCATGAAGAGGTCCTCACACTTAGCTACGAGGCGGGCCAGGGATTGGGTGTAGAGCCCCCCGAGCTTGGCATAGGTACCCTCCTTGCTGCTGATGCTGCTCAGGAGGCTGTGCAGCTGCAGGTGGGTGCTGCTGGTGGAGGCCTGGCTGGACACACTCAGCTGTGAGGATGAAGTGGAGGGGGCGCCCCTGCCCTGGAGGCTGGGACTCCCACAGCCACCCCTCAGGCCTGGAGCTGGGCCCCAGTGGCCACTGCCTTTGAAAGCTTTCTCCAGAGGCTCAGAAGAGGAGAAAACATAGTGGTGGTGTTTCCCGGAGCCCAAAGGATGGCTCAAGTGAGACTCCTCGTGGACGCAGACGCTGGTTTCTGAATGGCTTAGGTTCAGCTTGGGGCTCGACGCTCGCGGCTTGGGGGAGCCCTGGGTCCAGAAGAAGCCGTCCGGTGAAGAGGCTGCCCGACTCACAATCTTTTTCTGGGGGAGGGGAGGAGGCCTCAGGGGACCAGTGGGAGACACATCCTCTGTGGAGCCTGAAGGGAACGGAACGGGAGCAAAGAGCTTCTTCCCACTTCCAGTGGGCGAATGAGTCGGCTCATACGATGGGCCTGAAAAGAGAAAGGGAGCAATCAGCCGGAGGCCGGTGCACTCAGTTACAGGTCCTGCGGGCTTTCTATTTTGGGTCAAGGCAGTTGATTTTATTTCTTTTCTATTTCTTGAATAGATAATATATGCATAGTGGACAAAAGGTATATTTATTGACAAATTATTTCTCTTGCCCTGTTCTTCAGCACCCAGTCCCTTTCATCAGATAAAATTACTATCAGCATCTCATGCATCTTTCAACAAGCCAAACAAAAGTGTGTGTGCACAGGCAGACACACACACACACACACACACACACACACACTCTCACACGCACTCTCTCACACACACTCTCTCACACACACACTCTCTCACTCTCACACACACACTCTCACACACACAAACACACGAGAACAAACAGTGCCTACTGCCTGGGTATTGCTTTTCTTTCACATCTTACAGATTTCCTATCAAATGCTCACAGATATATCTAATTATTTGAAATAGCTATACCATAATATATCACCATGCGCAAGCATCATAATTTAACTATTCTCCTCCTGATGGACACGTAGGTTGTTTTTGATATTTTGTAAAAAAAAAAAAAGCCACAACTGCAGTGACAGACTTGGCCACATGTGGTTTGACTGGATTATTTAAAAAGGCTTGTGGGGGGTGTAATTTACCTACAGTAAGATTCCCCCCTTGTAGTGTTTAGTTCTTTTGAGTTTTCAGAAACACCCTGCTGGTTTAGGGGCCAGGGCAGGTCCACACTTTAGAAAGCATGGGAAGGAGATTTTGTAAATGAGGAAAGAGATCTCAAAGAGAGCGAGTCTTTCCCAGCTCTACAGCTGCCAGAGTGCAACACGAGGACGTGGAACATGGTCGAGGGGTGGGCCAGTCAGGGCCATGGGTCTCCACAGAGCATGAGACACTCACACACTGCAGGGTGGGACTGACGGCCAGTTCATTCGAGGCTGGACCTCACTCTTCTTGTCCACGAACGAATGGAGGTTTCATAAAGAAATAGGAGTTTAAAAAAATGCATAGGAAAAGAGATAAGGCAATTGGAGAAAAGGGCAAATTGACATAATACTTATTTTCTTCATTCAAGAATGGACTCTAAGATGCATCTACTTTTTTTGAGAGAGAGATTTTTGCTATAGGGTGCTTGTGCTTGCCATAGAAAGAGCCAGAAAGCGAGAAATCACTCCCCAGGGGGTATGGCCACTTTGCAGTTCCTTCTCCTTCATTCTCCTCCTAGGATTTTGGGCACACATGCACAGCTGCCTGGTGTAAGTTTCAAGTCTCTGGGTTTGGGACTCGAACCATGGTTGGCCATATGGGAGTTAAGTGCTTTAAATTACACCACCTGCTGGCTCCTCTTCTTTCTTTCTTTTTTTAAAATTACCACGGGGCACATGCATTCCCAGAGAAAGACAAGGAGGGTCACTCTCCTCCGTGGGACACAGTCATGCTGCAACCCTTTCTCCTCCATCTTGTCAGGATTTGAGACACACACACACACACACACACACACACACACGCACATGCACACTGCGGGAATAAAAGAAATGTTAACAGTATTCATAGGTTATGAAACACTTCCTATTAGGACCAGCAGTTGGTGTAATGGCTATGTCACTGGACTCCTGTGTAATCAACTGTGGTTCGAGTCCCAGATCTGGTGGCTTAAACTCACACCAGGCACGTGTGTGTGCATGCCCAAGATCCTGAGAGGAGAATGGAGAAAAAGGGATTGCAGGGTGGCCATCCCCCTTGGGGGTGATTTCTCGCTTTCTGTCTCTCTGTCTGTCTGGCAAGCGCATGCACCTTATAGCAAAAACCTCTCAAAAAAAAAAAAAAGGAACAAAAGAAAAAAAAAATTAACCCTATTATCCTGAGGGTTAAATGTAAAAGAAATATGAGTGTTAGATCAGGAAGAGGTACTTCCGAGGTACAGCAGATTTCCTTAGGAACAGGGCACTGAGTGTCTTTCTGCACTTCTCCCCACCTAGGCAGTGTGGCTAGAATGAGAAAGGCACCACACGCTGAAGGTGTGAAGAGCCGGGAGGAGGCCCGTCGTCTGTGGGCTTTGCGCCAGCCACCAGGTACCCAGACCGTGCCAGGGCCGCTCCGAACAGCTAACCTCCTGTGCCCACGCTGGGCACAGCCCAGCTCTCGTCAACCCAGGTGGGGGCAGAGCAGGCCTGAGGATGGACACCAAGCCCTTCAAAACAAATCTAGGCTCCTTACTTCCAGTGCTCAACGGGGAAAGTCTCTAGAGGACAAGAGGAGACTGTCTTTTAGGCACCCCAGCCCAGGCACGCGGGCACTGACATCCATGCCAGCCTCACTGAAGGGGGCATCGACAGCATGTGACAGCTGCAACTCCTGCCCAGGACAGCCATGAGCACTGGCTCACAGGAGGACAACGCTGGGTCACGCAGCCGGGAACCAATGGGTTCATTCAAAAGCAGCCCACGCAGCAGCACCGGGGTGACAGACCCCCAGCTCTGTCTGTCTCCCCCCAGGGCCTAGGCCCAGGAGCAGCACAGTGCATCTCACGTGCCCCTCGGCCCTTGCACGCCATCCCTGGCTCCTTGCTCACCTGCGGTAGCCCTTGCATGCCGTCCCTGCCTCCTTGCTCACCTGCAGTAGCTCTCGCACGCCATCCCTGGCTCCTTGCTCACCTGCAGTAGCCCTCGCACGCTGTCCCTGCCTCCTTGCTCACCTGCAGTTGGCAATCACTCTGCTCTCCCGAGGTTTTTTTTTTTAATCAAGATCATGTTGAGTCCTCTTTCCCACCGTGCCCTGTCCAGCTAATAACCGGTGGGACTTCTGCCAGCCAGGATGAATGGGTGATTATTCCTTCCTGGAGGGCACAGGTTAACCATAAAGCAGGCAGCAAGTGGTGAAGTTGGGTTTGGTCAGCTTTACACACCCGTAAGGAGGGCAACAAGAAAGAGCCCGAGGAGGGAGCTCTGACTGCGGCTCCTCTCAGCAGGCTCTGAAATGCTGGAGTCATGGGTCTCTCCAGCCCACGCCCCCCAGGAAAACTCTCCACTCTCAGGGGCTCGGTCAGCAGCAGCACATTGTGAAGAGGAAGGTGGATGGTTCGTTTTCTTTCTCTCCCCCCTCTAGCCAGAGGGGCTGAGCAAGAGGTAGAAAAGGGTCACTTCCTATCTCCTAGGCTAAAAAAAGGAGCGGCCAAACCACGGACTGACAAGGTTCTCAAAGAGAAGGAAGCCGCAGCCACAAGTCCCCTTCCTGCCCTCTGCGTCCTGAGCAGCAGGGGCTTCACTGTGGAGGTGTCAGGAGGGGCTGCGATCAGACTTTGCGGGCCCCGTCGCTGACAGGGACAGGTGCCTGTGGTCAGGCCAGGGAGTTTCTAGCCAATCGTTCTCTTGGCCAGTTCCCTCTTTAAGCTTATGCTTATTTTCCCGTCTTCATTGGTTTTGTTTTCTTTTCTTTCTTTCTTTTTTATTTTGCTTTAATTTGCCAGAGGTCACAAGCACTCAACTGAGAGAGAGACAGAGAGAGGGGGAAGCTCTCCATGGGGCACGGTTACCACAACCCTTCTCCTCCGTGTCTGTCCTCTCGTGATTGTAGGCACACACACACACACGCACACACGCACACACACACACCTGGCATATCTCTCAAGATGCGAGGTCCAGGACTCACACTGCGCTGTCATCCATGCTGGGATCCAGCCGCCTTAACTTCCATGCCACTGGCTGGCCCTTCCTGTCTTTCATATCCACCAATGTGCCCCTTTCTGCTTTCATTCTGATTTGAGTTGAACCACAGAATGAATGGGTAACTGTTGGCCTGAGCTGGCTGGGTTTCTTTCTTTAAAACACAACAGGATTGGGCCAACAGGTGGTGTGGAGGCTGGCGCACTGTGGTTCGAGTACCACACCCATCAGCTTGAAAATCACACCAGGCGAGTGTGCGTGCGTGCCCACAATCCTGAGAGGAGACTGGAGAAGAAGGGGTTGCGGTGTGGCCACTCTCCCTGGGCAATTTCTCACTTTCCTTTCTCTCTGGAGAATGCTCGTACCCTGTGATGAAGACCTAAAGCACACCCACAGAATGGAATCGCACCACTGGCAAAGCCCCTCCTGCACTAACAGTCTGGAGTTTCAGCCACTCTCTGTCCCCAACCTCTCCTCACATGAACCTCTCCTCACATGCACTTAGTTTCAGAGCTGCCCGTGAGATAAGACACCTTCGGGCGGACGGTCACCTTGCTTCAGTGCGTCTTCCTTGGATTTCTGGTGACTTCTAGTTCCCACAGCTGAGGCTGGTAAACTTTCTAATCTATATGAATAGTAGGAGTCTTTAAAAAACTATCTGTAACACTTCTTATCCCCTGGATTACCCAGGAAGACCAAGAAGTGCTCCTTCAGACTAAATAGTGGGTCCAGCATAAAAACAAACACAAAAACAAAAACAAAACAATTCATGAGTTCAGCAGCCGGGAGGCTAGGATCTCCTCTGCCCTGCAGTGCTCTCCTGTGGGAACTGTGATGTTCATCAGCTCTCCCAGCCTGGAACCACTGGGTAAATATGGCAAAGGGTGCCCAGTGTCAGAGGGGAGGCGTGGCTCCAAGGATCAGCACATGGGCCAGTTACTGTTTCTCCATTTCCTTACTACCCAACAATCCCTCCATCTGCACGCACTAATCAGAGGCCAGCACTGCCCAAGAGAAGCCCCCACCACTACCATCAACACACTTACTCAGCTGAAGTGTAGGCCTCGCTGCACAAACCCTACAGGTGAAGTCAGGCTCACGGGAAATGTGGACTGTCCACGTGTACCTGAGCACGTAGACACATTCGACTTTTGTATTTGAAAATCAAATTGCCACCTTCCACAGAGATATACCCTTTGGATTACGGGTCTTTGATGCTCTCCGAGTGTGGACTGACAGCTGGGGAGGCAGCCAGAATGCACTGTAACACCCCTGGCACCTCAGGAGCCTACATCTTTTCAGGTGTTCATATTCTGAGGCCT